TTGTTGAGACAGCACGTCCAACAGCTGTCTCAATATCCCTTCTCGAATTAGAATGAGCACCCCAAGAATTATAACGCAGCCAATCCTCAAAGCAGTGAGTCGTGTACAACTGAGTTACTCACGTCCACATTAAGCCTGGATTACACAATCTCCACATGAGTAATAGCAATCAGGGTCATTGTACAAAAGACAGGCTTTGCTCCTTTATTCTGACAAAGGCAGAGTCGAATTTTCAGGATAATAATTTGCAATTTTATGGTAAATATCAAGCGACATGTCTAGAGTAAACGTGTTTTAAGTGTGGAGTTTGTAAGGCAGTTTGATGTACTTAGTGCTACTAGGTTACTTATCACCATTACTGAGCGCACAGGAAAATAAAATAAGAATTTGAGAACAACAAATTATTTACTGTGACTTGCAATAAATTCTGGATGTCACCACACACAGAGAACACACAACAGCAGCCAGCAAGGCACAAGTCAGCGAGGAGGGGCCCCCGCGTGGGGCTCGGCACAGGCACTAGCCTCTCCCCTCCGCCAGTACAAGTCTCGTTCCGTCCGGGTGGTCCATGCTGCCACCGCCAAGGCGGTCTGGGGTGCTGTCCTCTTCTGTTTCCCTTGTCCCTTCAGCTCCAATTCCACTGACACGAGTAAAGAACCACCATCGTCTTAAGTGACCATTTCAAATTCTGGGAGATACTGGTTTTCAAGATTTCAGAAATGACTGCCCACGTGTGAGCTGAAACTCCCCACAACTCTCAGGGAATGCTTCATGCTTCTCAGCGTTGCTCAGACCTCCACATCTGTGACGGACACAGTCGCCCCTGGAAAGCAGTTCTTACGGTCCCCGGAAATCTTGGGAGCCAGGGGAGGGGCGGGGGATGAAGGAAAGAGAGGGAAAGAAATGTCCTGCGTGTGTCTGAAGTTCTCCTCTGAGGGAATGTTGCAGAACACCTCTGCCACCCATTGCCAGCGGATCTGTCTAGAGGGAGAGCACTGTTCCCCCAGTGCTGACATGCTGGAGCCTGCAGAGGTGCTGCCTCCGGCTGCCCGCTGCCCGCACCTCCCGTGGGCTGTCACCCACCCCAAGGTCTGAGCCTGCGGTAAGAACTCAGCGACTACTGCTGAGTAAACACGTGGTTGAAATTAGATCCTTTTTGTACCCGGTGACAAAATTATAGATCGGAGACATAAACGTGAACAAATTATCTGACTTTCTAAGAGGTGATAAAACACACCAAATACATGGCTTCCTTCCCAACCCCCAAAAATTGCTTGATAAGAAAATGGTTTGATAATGGTAATAATGCAGAGTTGTCCCAGAATTTAGGGTTGGTATGAATGGTAAGCAGAAGCTTTCAGACATAAATAGGTCCTTGTTTTCAAAAGTAGATCGAGGACTTCCTGCTGTGGTAATAAGGAGTAGAAATGCTTTCCTGTTCTTCCTGTTGAGTAGTACGAACCCCAGACACTGTGTATAAAACAACACCGATATAC